TGTAACAAACTATGAAACAGACACTTAGACCTTTCGTCCCCCTTCCCCACACACAACTTCAGTCCAAAAACTCTCCTTCTCGTCTTCCTAGTTTCGGCTTTCTTGTTACACTCAGTGCTTCCCAGACCGTTTGGTGAAGCAGCAGGCAACGCAAGAGGTTGGGGTTGGTGTATAACTATTTCTATCTGCCAGTTGTTGCTGCTCACATTTTTTCCTGTGCTCTAGTCTGCTCCGTGGTCTGCAGTTCCACAGGGATGTCATTGCTCCAGTGTCGGTCATCTGCGGGCTGCAGTCCTTCTGGGGTGTCACTGCCCTGACATGGGTTGCCTGTGGTTGCAGTCCCTCAGAGGTGCCTCCTCTGGCATGGAGCACCTCCTCCCAAGAGTGCAGCTTCAGCTGTGCTCTCAATAACATCTCCTTTCATGTGTCTCCTCTATTTTGTTTTTCCAAACACATCTCTCACATTTCTTCTGCCACCCTTTCTTAAGTGCATGAGCAGAGGTGCCACATGCTCCTCCGACTGTCTGAACATTTGGCTTACATTGAGTTCTTTTCACCCATTACAGCGCCAGCTGCAACTGGCTGTGACTGGCCAATGACAGTTCATGCCCTCCTCTCACACAGATCACCCCTAGTACCAAAATGGTGCCAGTGCCCAATACAGGCTCCTGGACCCATGCGCAGAGGGTGTAGGGGAACGCTCCTGCTGATTTCAGTCCTGGGACTTCAATAGCTGATAGTATTTTCTATATATTTATTACCTCTCAATGGATTGCTCTTCCATGGTTTTGTCAAGTCTGTCTTTAAAATCATGTAAAATTTTATCATCTCCAGCATCCTTTGACCATGAGGTCATCATCCAGCTACCTGTTTGTTCTCAGCTACCTCTATGTGTTTGGTTTTTTTTTTAACTGCTTTCTACTAACTTCTTTTAGTACCCTTAAGTTCCTGTGTCAGAAGAGATACTGAATAGTCAATCTCTGTCATTGTCTCCATGTCATACAGGACTTCAGAAACCTCTGCTCTTGAGAACATTGTCCCTCTCCTAGGAGTTTGGCTGCCTGGGCTCAAGCACATCTGAACCAACTGTCCAGCCTTGAATCAGAGCACTGTCTGTGATAGAGATGTGAGATGCCTCCATGGGGGGGTCTACATCCCCCTCACTTGAGAGAAGCATTTAATCTGACTCTTTTGATTGTGGTCCTTGCTACCTTGCGTGCCTGTGCCTGGCCATGAACCTCACTGAGCCAGACCCTGTAATGCAGCACTGCAAGTGTTCATTTTGGACACTAGTAAGAAACTGATTAAAATGCAATTTATTGGAGATAACATGAGAGGGAAAAAGGAGATAGCATAGATAATTTCGTGTCTCTTCAGATGGTGGGAACCCCAAGCTATGTGGCATTAGATGGATCTTTATTCAGGGCACAGCACACTATGCATATCCCATGCATGCAGAGGTTCACTGGTGGTGTGATCTTTACAGCTTTTATAGGTATGTTCTTAGAAGTAAACAACTCTGTTTATCATTTCTACTGTCGAAGAAAAGTATATTTATATAGAAATATGCTGCTTCACTTCAAGATAAAGACAAGGATGTGCCAGCAGCATCACCACCATGTGCCATTTGGGGGCCATCTACAAGCTCCTCCATTATGATTAGCAGGCTAAGTTTATCCTGCAGCCACGTGATACATTCAGCACAGTATAGGCATGGAGGTCAAGCAATATGTACAGCATAGCGTAGCACAGCACGTGCCTGTGCCTGCTCAGGTCAACTTTTATGTGGGTCACTAACTCCTCAATGTACAACATGTGGTTAGGACCACTACGGATCCTGACCCATGGACTTAGCCTCCAGGCTTGATATTTGACCTACTTCATCACTACAGACTTGTTTTTGGGAATCACTGGACTGTGGTGATAGTATTGGGAACTGTAGCACTGAACGCCTTATCGGTGAGGCCCCTGCCCTGCTGGCCTTGCTGTCACCTGCTGCCCTGCTGCTTCCCTTGCCAAGCAGCCTTACCCCTGCCGCTCCTTGACAATCCCCTCGCTGCTGTCTCTTTTCCACATTGAAGAATCTTAGCTCAGTAGCTACAAGAAACAGAAAACTGAACCACTGTTCCATGTCAAAACCTTCCCAGCCAATATGTAGCTTTCAGTTTGATTCAGCATGCTGTGCTTTCTCAAATATCATTTGGGAGCCCAGGACAGCTTTCCCCCTGGAGTCCAGGAGGTTCTCTGAGTGCTCTTCCTCTGGTGACTATGATTAGAGCATACTGCCTGCAAAATCTTGTGCCTTCAGCCATGGATTTGGTTTGCTTAGGAGAAGGTAGGCCTTTCTTGCAAGTCAAATGTGCAGAGAAGTGTGGAATGCTCTCAGACAATTATATTCCCCAAAGGGCAGAGGAGATATGTCAGCTCCAACCCTTCCCCAAATGACATGAGAAGGAAAGGCACACTTAGGCCACAGAGCACTTCTAATGCTGTCCTATGCAGCATTAAAAAGAACGTGATTACATGTGGCTGTTCTTATTCCACAGACCTCTAGCAGTACTGTATATCCAAAACAACACAGCACATAGTGAAAATGGAGTGTAGCAGGTGGACAGATGGCAATTTATTGACATACTAACTTCAATCATGCTGCCAGGCAACAAAAAGGACTATTGGACAATACCTAGACTTTGTGGGAACTGGGATTCATGTTTTTAAACTCTTGCTGGACTTCAGAGCTCAGAAGCAGCAGGCAGTGTTTGCTCCCCTCGCAGCTGCTCTTCCCTCATCCCTTTGTAACACCCTCCATGCTGCTCTTTTTGCAAATTGCTTCCCGTGGGGGCTGCAGCAGCCACATTCACTGTGGCAGCTCCTTTACAGCAGGTCCTGCTGCCCCAGACCAGCAATGCACAGGCACAGTTCTGGGCCCAGCCATCGATATGGGGGGGTGGGTGGGTATAGATTTTATTCAACTTTGTTGAATCTCCATTTTTACCTCTCATTTTAACCCCTACAGAGGACGTTTTCTCCTTCACAAACCAAATAGCTCTATCCCTTCTGCAGTATTTAACTGTGATATTTTTTCATTCAGGGCACATACATCTTAAAATCTAGTTTTCAACAGATGTCTGTCTTTCAGAAGACTGATGGACATCACTTCGTATCTCTAATGACACCTGAAGGATCAGTTTAAAACAAGAGTCAAATGCTTCTGTTTCACAGTGAGGACATTAGGTGGACTCTGTGCCTTGAAAACCCCTCTTACGTATAGTTTTAGGAAGCTGCTTACCATTTCTGCCCTGATTTTCTCCATTTCTTCGCTTTAAAATAATCACCAAGCAGAAGAATGTTTAAGCAATAGAATAGCCATTTTCTTCATGTTATGTAATAAATACTTCCATAATAAATGTTGATAGTTTTACTATTATTGTACCTAGAAAGTGCAGAGTGACAGCCATGCTTATTTCAGATTAATAACAGTTTGAGAATTGCTTAATAACCTTACACACACTGCTCCTTAGGACAACGTCTTAGAAGTCATGCCTTTTTCTTTTTCTTTTTTTTTTTTTTGGTTGTAGCAAAGCTCTGTTGACTGCTTTTGGCTATAAGGAAGCAGAACATAATGTACACACTAAACCTTGAAATGTCATATCTCTTGAAATACTTTTTTGGTTGAATATTTGTGTTAACCGTAGCTAATCTTTTATGACTGGCTTGGGACGACCAGTATTTGCAGTTCTCCCATAGACTTCATAAAGGGTATGAAAATATGTTTCCCTGCTGCCAGCATCATCATTTCAAGTTATATTTAATGCTGACTTTTCAAATGGTTGAGGCAGCTCCAAATACCGCCATGTGTCTCCTTTTTTTCACACTTTTTAAGTACTGATACTGTAATTCGCAGTTTTGCATGTGCAGCCCAGCAGAAGGGAGATTGCTTAGATCAGCAATTAACACTAATAATCTTTTTAATTAGATACATTGTAACCTAAAGAAACTTCCCTCTAAAGACTGTGAAAGAGGAAATAACATCTCTAGAGGATTATCACATCAAGAAGCAATAAGAAAGATTTCCTCATAGGATTCTTGTGGGTATGAGAGAGCTGAAGCAGTCCACCTTTTTTAAGCTCAAAGTTTTTAAAAACATTCTTAAGCTGTTTAGTAACTTCATGTATGGGTACATTCTGGTTTTGAAAATATGATCCAAATCCTAGTCTAAACCACTTGTATCAATAATCACTACCTGCTGTATCATGTTTCAGGTTTTGTGGTGTGGAAATCCAGAATACGTAATGACATGTTTAGTTTGCAATGCTTTTATTAGAATAAATAGAAAGACCACCAATTAACATTCATTAATCAATGATATGTCACTGGAATGAAGACAGAAAATTATATCAGTCAGGAAGATGTTGTATTTGGAGTGATGATTTATGAAGAAATGGTAGACTTTCTGTAAGCTCCCTCAGAACAAGAGACAGAGCCTTATAGTATGTGCAGCACAAAGAAGCCCAAATGCATTCCTGGAAGAAGAATGCTTTGCTGAAGTTTAGAATTTCATCTGCAAGTTGTCCAAGCATCAATTCCAGGATGGTAGCCCAGCAAGTTCAACAGAAAGGACCAGGGTTATTCAGAAAGCTGTGTTTATTTCACAGAACTCCTATAGAGAAACCAGTTTCTCAATAGCAGTAGCAGGATTTCTCCCAAAAATCAAAACACTGGCCCTGTCTCTCAAGTCATTCTATGGGAAATATTCATAAGCTACCTCCTGAAATTCTCATTCAATCCTGGATATAAGTTCTGAATACAAGTTGTGTGACAAGAAATACCTGCACCTAAAGATCTGAAAAGTCACACGCTTCTTCAGGAATATCTCCCTAGATATTGAAGGCTTTCCACTTGGAGAAAATATTGAAGAGATGAAATTATACTACAATACTACAGTAAGGGGGGTCTGTTTCCAAGGGGAAGGCAAGCATTATTTCCAGCTCTTTTTCTCCTTAGGGGGAGCAATATCTACCAAAGAAGAGGATGATGTTGGTTGGATTGTGTTTGATCAAGAAAAGGAAAGGGTGGTCAGCCCTAAACTCTTCAAACTCAGAGGGATGTTTGATGTCTCCCATCACCTCCGCTGAGCCTGCCACCTCGGTGCCTTCTTCATTGACTTCCATGTACGCCTCATGGATGGCCTCAGATATCTTCAGGCTCTCTCTTGAGGAGATGCCAGACAGATTGGCCGAAGGACTGAACAGGTCGGTCATACCCAAGGCCATTAAGACAGATGTGAGGTTATATTTTTCCTCAATCTTCATGCGTGGGAGGTACACTTTCACTCTCTTCTTTTCCATCACATTAGGACTGGTCCACTCCGTAAGTTTTTCAAAGTTGATTTTGTTCTCAAGCTGCAAAGAGAGGCAGGGAATGAAATGCCTGAGACAAGAGTGCAATGGCCTTAATGGCTGTGTTTATACCACTTGTTACTATTTTTTCCCTTTACTTTGTGTACACAATAGAACTGATACTTAATCTTAAATGTATTTTTTTATCCTGTGTGCTTCCTCCTGAGTACAGCCCATAGCTCATTGTCCTGACAAAGTTCTCCAAAACTTTGTCATCTGAAAACTTCTTCATCAGATCAAGGCGCTTTTTTTGTGAAAATACAGTTCTTGAAAACATCACATCAAATTGGCCCCAAAACTATTCCTCCTGGAGCATATTTTATTGATTCTTTCCCTCATCTTAGTTCCTTTTAATGCTACTTTTTGCATTTTCCTTTTAGTCAGCTCTTGGAATGCTTTCCTCATCACTTCCTTTTTTTATTTCTCCTTGGACAAACTTTTCTTGTTTAGAAAACCATTGAGTGCTCTCTTGGAAGACTGAAATCACTTGAAATGAAAAACAAATCCTGCTGGCATGTCTGTTTCTGGCACCTATGGAGACCACTGCATATAGCAACATCCTCCTCTGCAGGGCTACAGCAGCATTACACTCCTTTACCTTTGTTTTATTAGGTTCAGTCCAGGATTCTCCTGAGAGGCTAGTCTCTGCCTGAGCACCTGGTAGCACCTGGGGGGCTGTTGGGCTCCCCTGCCTGCCCACCACAGCCGTGGTGTGGGCAGCTGGGATGTAAAGGGACAGCAAAAGGTCTGACAGCAGCCAAGTCCCACTGAAGCGATAACTCTTCTGCTTCCCCTGCCAGGGCCATACCTGCTCCAGGCCAGAGACATCATCAGGCAACAGCACCAACATGCTCAGCTCCCCGCTGGCGTACGGAAGCTCCAGGATTTTAATTTTCTCTGCAGCCACTGCTGCCACTTTGAAGGTACTGTTCTGACACATCATCTGCACAGGTCTGCTGTCTTGCTGCAAAAACAGAAACGTGAGACGACGTGACCGGGAAGCAGTTTTTTCTTTAGGCAGGCAAATGTACAAGCCCTTTGAAAGGACTCGATCTTCAGGCATGTCCCCATCACTGGAGGTATTTAAAAGACATACAGACATGGTGCTTAGGGACATGGTTTAGTGGTGGACTTGGCAGTGCTAGGTTGGACTTGATGATCTTAGAGGTCTTTTCCAACCTAAATGATTCTATGATTCTATGTTGCCTTTGAAGTGTACAAGCTCTTTGAAAGTGACAGGACTCGATCTTCAGGCATGTTGCCTTTCAAGAAGAGCTGTGTCTCCATTTTCCTCTCTTGCCTGCTGGTGTGCTCTGGAAGCCTGGTCAGACACAGCTCTTGCAAACACTCCTTGGCCTTCGGCCCAGGCGCTGACAGTGAGGGGCCCAGCTAAATCACCCAACCTGTGACAGCAACAGGTTGTATCTGTAACACCCAGACTGCTGGCTGTGTGAGCCAACAGCTGTCCTGGCCAGAAGCTGTGTTTGTGCCCTCCTACCTCCGTGCCCTCCTACCTCTGTCACATTGAAGGGCGCTTCCCGAGTGTGTTCTTCTTCAAACGCCGTCTTCCATATCCCTTTGAAGTATATGGTATTCACAAGGACCAGCACAGTATTGAGATCAACAGAGCCTGACACAAGGAAATCTTGGATCTGTCCTTTAAGAAAGAAGCAGGGCAGAGAGTGGTAAGATACACCTCCTCTAGCGTGCACACATGTCTGCAATGAAGGGCATGGGGTTGGGGGGGGTGCCACTTTGCGGAGGTTTGTTTTCATAGCAATAGGCAACATGCTCTTGCTTGACCCACTTTTTTCTAGACATTATGAGGAGAGGAAGACAAGGGTATAGATTATGGTAGGTAGGGGAAAATATCTGCTACCCATTTTTCAGTCCTTACCATTTGTCTCTTTTTCCACCCAGGAATTAATGAGCTGTCTTGCTTCCTCTGCAGCTGTTTTGAAGTTAACTTCTTCCAGCCCTGCTTTGTAGAATTTCTTTGCACACTTTAGGTATTCCTGTAAGCAGGATTGCAGTTGTCAGACTGATGAGAACTTGAAAATGTATGAATGTGAAAGCAAGATTGTGAAATGAAGCAGAATGGTTAAAAGAACAGTGAAATTTTACCCCTATGTTTGAACATGTCAGTCACAGCTGTCTTCCTGTAACTGAATCTTAAAGCTGGACAAGAAAGACTACTGCACATATTTAGGTCTGGCACTTTTTTTTCAGATAGGATTCTAAGTTAAAATTTTGAAATATTTTCTTTGTTTTACCAAAACACTTTCAGTTTAACAAACATTTTTAAGGACAGACAATTTTTGTTTCCTTCCCTTCGTGCCTACTTTTTATTTTGAATACTGTGTTCTTACATTCTTGTATTTCAAAAACAAAGCTCCGTTTCACTGGGAAGATTTTATATTTGGCTTTGAAAAAAATCCAAATTTGACAATTTGAGTCTTCATGCTTTCAAGTCACAAAATGTATTTCATTTCCCTTAAAAGTTGCATTTTTCATTAAAAGCCATTTTCTAGCACATGAACAGCAATCTTGATTGCTCCCTGTGACTGTTGCCATATGGGCATATTTTGTGCCATAAAACTTTTGCCTGGCCTCCACCTAACAGCCACAGGAAGGTTCAAACTCATTCTGAATCAGTTCCCTTCATGGCTCACAACCACCTCTTCATCAACAGACAGCGGGCTATTGGTGGTGGTGCTTCTCTAGGGTAGAGTCGCAGGGGCCTTTATGAGGAATCTCGCTGAAGTCAGGTCTCAGTACAACTCACCGGAAGAATGGGGCATGTTTTTTCAATATAGAGTCTGTCAGCGATCTTGAGCGAGTATGTAGCATTTGGTGTGGTGATGTCTGAAAGAAGATCCTTGAGTAAACTGTGGATGTGTTCAGAAGTGCCACACTGAGGTGATGCCATGAAAATAAGAAGATACATTGCATTAGATTCTTCTTATCTAGGAAATAAGACCCTAAAGGATTTTCCCTATTAGTTAAGTCCTCCAGTTAAGTGGAGTCCTCCCCCACAGATCGGGGGGTGTCACCTTTGGGACAACAGGTGCTGTGGTGATGGTGCATTGAACCAACAAGTTCATCCTTCTCAAGATAAGTCCCCTAAAATGTGCTTTTTGTAAGAGTGCCGTTCTGTTCCTGTCACTGAGACTTCTGGGCTCTTCCCTGCCCAGCATCTTCCCGCCCTGCTTTGGAGTCTCTCAGCTGCAAGTCTGACTGCTGTACCCTGGCTCCAGGTGCCGATCCCCTTTCACATGCTGTCCCCCAGCAACATTTGCCCAGGAAGGCGCCCTGGTGCCCACAGCATCCTGCCCCACACCATCACTTGTTCTGGTGCAAGATGTGCAACCTGCCTTCTTTCCCTGGTTTTTAACAATTACATGTGTTACACCCTCCTTCCCTCCCTCCACAGGTCTCCTTGGTTTGGGAGCGTTACCATAGTTTTTGACAGGGTCTGAAACTGCCAGAAAGAGAGGCAGAACAGTTCTAGTTTTGTTCTGAGGAGAAAATAAGACAGAAAGGGAGATCAAGTTATTTCTCTACCTGGGAGTCAGTAGTGTCTCCAACTCCTGTAACGTTATCAAAGTGAAGAACCTGCAAGAGAAAACGCCAGTGATAGGAATTACAAGCATGGACAAAAATGATGTGAATTTGAGATTTACACATGATGCTTGAGGTAAAGCTGTTGGCTCAGAAAAAAAAAAGTCCTAGCTAAGAACATAGATGAAGTAAAAATCTACAGGTGAGCTTGCAACTGGTTTATGCCCTCTGTGGCCTTCCTGGAAACTGTAAATACCACTCTTTGCTTAGATGATATTTTTTTCTAGTGAGTGTCTAGAAATTAACTGAGTTACATATTAAGTACTGCTAGTAATATTTTGTCTTCTCTTCCTGGGATTTATCTTTTTTATATATTAAAAAAAAAATCTGATCATATTATCCGGAAGATGTGGGAATTTAGGAAAAAACCAATATAATAAAGTTTGCTGACTGGTAATCCTCTTTGTTATTGTCTTTGAGATATTTTTTTCCTAAGTCAAAACTAACTGCCCCTTATAGTGAAAATATGCATCTTTTTTTTAGTATTTTCTCTAAATAACACTTAACCCAGTTCTCCATTTTGTGACTTTGGCTTATTTCTTGTGCATTAAAACAGGTGAGAACCTCGTCAGTGGATAATATATTTCAGTGATGTTCCTTAGAAGGAACAAGCACAAGTAGAGGTCACTTTACGCCCATGTAACTTACCTTCTCCATCTGAGATTGAGTGTTACCTCTTGCTCCCAGATAGACCATGGCCAGGGCTGAAATGATGCTCAGGGGGGAATAAAAGATGTTGTCGTTGGCATGGTGGACTTTCAGCTCTTTGAATACATCAAAACAAAATTCTGCATTTGCTGCACTGATGGAGCCCATTGTGAAATCAGTGTTGTCTAAAGCAAACAGAAAGAGTCTGACTTACTATGATGAAATATATTAATTGTAATGCATGGAAGCCGGTGCACTTGAACCCTTGAACTTGGTGCACAGGGTTTTTTTCAGCAAACAGAATCCAGTGGTGTGGATTTAAAAGGCAGACATGCTTTTGGATTCATGAGCAATCAAAATGCTGGATAGCTACCAGTTATGCATAGGCTGGTGATTCTTTTATTTGAAACTTGCGTTCTCCTTCTCTGTACATGTATACCATATTGTTGAAAATGTGGCAAAGAATAATTGTTCCCTTGAAAGAAGCTCACTAACAGTCTTCTCTCATCTCTTAAGGGAAAAACCACACATAGATTTGTTCTCAGGATCTTCATTTTTTTGAGACTCCAAACCAGGTTCTTCACTATAGTTTCTAACTTCACTTTTAAGATTAGTTAACAGATCAGCCCTCTGTGATCCAAGCTACAGTTAATTCCAGTATACAATGTGCAAGGCTGAAGCAACAGCATAAGTTTTGCTAGATTTATTCTAATTAGAGCCTCATGTAAATGGAAGCTAGGTTCTTACACCACCTCCTTTATCAGAGGTCTCAAATGTTAGCAGCATTACCTTCATTTTTTTTTAAATAGGATAATGAAGACACAGCAATGGAGGCTGCAAATGATTTACCAAATTCATCCAGTTTTTGACAAACGTCAATAGCTAGTACGTTCCATTCATTGTTAACTCACTTATATCTCACTCTGTTTTAAAAAAGTGTTCTTTAATTTTTATTATCACCTTTTCCATAAAATCCACCTTTTAATAAGACAGTGCTTGTTTAGCCTTGTGTTTAATTTGCAGAGATCTTCACATCTTCAATATTTAAATATTTTTTCTGCCCTTTTTCTGTAAAATTTTTCTTGTAAAATTTTCCCTGTAGTTTCAGCACTTAGCATTTCATCTAACACTGAAGGGAAGGATTTTTTAGTAAAGAGGACAACACAGAGTAGAAAATACAATACTGTAAAGTCTAATGCAGCAGTGTAGTGTTTATACCACTTACAACTTCCCACATGTTGACACAAGCAGAGAGAATCTTGCTAGGGTAGAATTTCTTCTAGCTCTTGGAGATCTTCAAGCATTGCAAACTTTAATTTGCTTCCCTCTGTGGCTGCTAGAGAACAAAATCCAGGATACTCTGCCATATGTATCACAGTCCCCATGGAATCAACGCATTCATGTGACAGTCATCTCTTAATGTGGGATAATTTGAACAACAGTGCATCTCGCTGCTCCCCTGCGAGAATGGATGCTCAATCTCTCTCTCTGAATTGAACCACTTATATAGGTGATATAAGGTAGATTTTTTTGTAATTTCCCAATTCTGCTAGCTATTATATTTTAGCTCCATTTATGGTCTTGGTAAAGAAACATATTCATGAAGAAAATGGTTTTTTTTTTAAAAAATCTTAGAAAATATTATGCTGCTTAATTCCTTAATTTCACTCAGAGAATATCTTCCATAAACCCTGCAACTGAGCTTTAGTTGCATCCTCTGGAATTTAAACAAATTCAATTCTGTCTTTTAATTCTAAATGAAACATTAAAGGGAGAGAAGAAGAAGGAAGAAAGGCTGTCATAACATATCACCAGCTTTTCAATGTGGAAGAGTTAGTAAACAAAGCTTTAGTTCATACAAACAAATACTTTGACTTTATGCATGGCAGAATGTGAAACTGAAATAATGCAGAACACACATGTGAAGGTGAGATAAGGTTCCTGCAGAAGGCATCCTTTAATCATTTATTTCTTCAACTGATATTGAAGGTCATAAACGTGAGGTTACCTCAATCTTTTTGTAAGTTTTGTAACAGACAATTTTTTTTGAAATTGCAGATTAGAATAAATCATAATTGAAAGAAATGCTTACCTTATCAGCTTCACCTGCGAAGATAATAGTACAGCTTCTCAGCTGTACTTGGGGCAGACTTGCCGAACTCCTTGAAATATATCTTGTGTAATTTTGTGACACGCCCCATGCTGCCTGTTCGGTGCTTACCACATGAAGTGATGGATGGAGCTCAGTGTTAGACATGCACTCTTACTTGGAATAAGTAAGTCCATTCTTTCAAAAAAAAAAAAAAACCCAACGCCTAAATCAAAGGGTTTTACCCTAAAATCTCCAGAACGGAAGATTCATTCATCATAGCGTGTGAAACCTAGCAGAAAAGGAAGGAGCATATTAAATGGCTGAAGCAAAAATAATGATAAAAGTAAGTATGATTTGGTTATGGCAGCAAATAGTGTGGCATAGCTCATGAAAATAAAACAAAAAAAATAAGAAATTCAGTCTTGCAGATGTGTCTAAGGAATTTTGAGTTTATTTCCTTATTATTCCTCTGTAATGAGTACTGACAGGCAGGTTCCCTCTCGGAGTCACCATTCTGTGAACTCAAAATATTTGGTAAGATCAGCATATGCAAGACTGCTTCCTACATTATGCCCGCACGATACTTATTGCAACTTTTCTCTCTCCTGTTGTTGGCTGGACTACCAATATCACTAGTCTTCCTTCACACCAGAATCCATAGCTCTTGCTGAGGAATGGAGAAACTTCTGCTACCAAGGAACTTAAGAAAGAGCACATCCTTCAAATTTTAGTTGCCAAATTTAATAATATAGAAATAGATTATTCTGCAACTTACAGCCTGCATTGTAAAAGACCACAGACATAGTGTTTCACACAGCACAGTTTTTCATCCTAGAGCAGTCTAGCTCAGGGAACTCGGACATAGTCACAGTCTGCGCAGCACATCAATGGAACAAAACCTTCAGTGAGCAATATTGTGGGAATACAGATTCATTTCAAAAGCAGTATTCAGAGCATCTGTATAGAGAAGAATTACAGAGCTGAGGAAAGGTGTGTTGGGGAAAGAGGGGTTGAGCAGAGAAGAAAGACAAGGCTTCTGTTGCTTTTTAAATTCAGGCATCAGGATATTTAGATCCCAGTCAGATGCTACCAGAAAAGGATTTGAACTCGCTGCTGAAATTTTGAAGGGTAGTTTAGGGTGAGTTGTTCTTTTCCTTTTCCACAGGTCACAGCACCAGATGCTAGGTTCAAAATGTGCCTTTTGTACATACAGGGACTATTCTTACAGATCTTCCACAAGCAACTTCATGGCACATCAGGTGGACAAACCAGCTGAAGAAACATTCATGGTCTGCAGGACAGTCATAATATACAATAGCAAGCAGAAAGCAGTCGCATAATTCCTTTGAAATAAAAGAATGAACAGACAATAAAAGAAACTGCTTTGACCTCTCGAAATGCCATGTGATTTTAAAACAGAAATCCAAAGCCAATACACGAAATGCCTCTGAAATTGTCTAGCACAAATTATGCTTCTGGAGAGAAGAGGTGGACTCTTTAACCCTTTTAGTTGTCTATGCCAGTGGAAAGCCTCTGAATCATCTATACCTTTCTCCCTAATACAGTCCTCATTTGTCCCGTTCAGCTGAAGGTGCTAGTGCATTAATAACTGTGAAGAGCTCAGTTTGGACTGGTGCACTGACGTACCACTAGTACTTTACATGACACAGTGTAGCCCAGGCTGGTCTGCTGCAGCCATTGCTATGCAACACCAGTGTTTTTGAGGAAAGATCTTTAGGCCTTGCCTCACGTTGGTGGCCCATCGCTGCAAATCTCTTGTAAAGAGAATGAGCTATTCTCTCACAGGAGCGGTACGTCAATTGGTCACCACCGTTGTGAGTCCTGTTTAGCTGAAAATGGTATCACCATGCTGGTGGAAAGACAGGTCAAATGGGCGAATGTGTCTGTACATGGTGAATACCTTTAATCACACATTTGGGAGTGCTCCCTAAACTGCAGGCTGTTCCTGCGGCTGCTGCCCCTTCTGCCTTTCCTGCTTATGACGGCTTTGTTTCTGTTCAGACAGGCTTTAACACTGGCGGCCATTGTCCATTGTTGTATACTTTACAGCTCAGAAGTCAAAGGATTAGCCAATATGTTTTACCCTGTCACTTCTAAATTTTGAGTATGCCTTGAGTCTTTTTCCTTAACAATCAAATTGTCTAGTGGTACGCTCCAGCTCCTGAGCTACCTTGGCATTTGTGTGCCATCTACCTTAATCACATTTGGATCATCATAGACAGCCTGTAACTTCGTAGCTACAAAGACGTCTAGTGTGTCCGTACAGTTGTTTCATAACAGCCAATTTGCAGCATTAATGTTGATAGCAATGGCATGGTTTCAAAATACTTCGGAGTTGAATATATACATTAATGAAAGGAATTTTTTGTTTTGCAGTAGGGAAGGGGCAGTACACCCCTCCAGAATCATGTTAATACACAACCCAGGTTATTGTTTTTGTTAGCATTTCTATTTTTTATTGGTCAAATGAATGATTAATGTAAAGCAAGTTGTAGAAGCAACAAAATCATTCCACAAGTAGGTAAAAATCTTGATGATGATCAACCATCAGTGCAGAATCGTAAGAATATAAGAGGTACTGCATAGTCTACTTGGCGACTTTAGATGTGTCATGGAGTCTAGTGAGATTAAGCAAACCTTCCTGTAGTTGAAACGCTTCCTGGGATAAAAGATAATGGATTGCCCTGTCTAGCACAGCTGTGTAATGCAGCACAAACACAAAAGGATGTGTTTTGCCACTTGTCCATGTTTCAACAATGCTTGTCCCAAGAAAGAGGTCGGCTAAGGCTCTGCCGTCCTTTGCTCTGCCAGGCATTTCATTGTGGAGCTGTCCCTAAACCAACAGACTCTTAGACGTTCGAGCCTTTCCAAAAGGATATGAAGTCCAGGTCAGATCACAGACCAAAGGCTCTCATCCAATCACAACAATCCACACAGAACTGAAGATTTTGTTCTCATCCACATTGCTGCTCTTTTGCCAGTAGGAAGGAGCATGTTGATCGTTTCGTGTTTGTCTTGCTCAGAGTGACTGCCAGCGATTGTTCAGTTTGTTGCCATTTCAGACCTTGGTGCTGTAGCTGTCAATGATGGTTTCTCTCTCAGTTGTCCTGTAGGACTGTGTTCTTTCCCCAGTCTGAAGAAAATGAGGTCTCTGGTCAAGCTCCTTCAGCACAGCAGCGCTGTGCCATTCTGAAGAGACGGACGTTGTTGCCTGCAGTGCTGCCTTGGTTGTTCACAGACTGTGACAGGGATGTGTGTACCTCAGTGCTGGCAGAGTGTATTTCTCCCGTGAAGGCATCTTCAGGAGGATCCTATGATGGCCTTGGCCACAAGTCTCTCACACTTACTCACTGCATTTGCTTGGCAGTGCACACAGCATCCAGCATCTGCTGCTATACTGGTTCTGGACCAGGGCACACAGCAGTCCCTTTACCAGTCATCACAGCATATGTGAAGTCCCTTATTTGTCCCTCAAGTCCCTGGGATTAGCCAACAGCCAGGGTGAGGCTGTGGATGGTCTTACCTCACTGGGTCCTAAGGAGGCAGCATGGTAACCAGGCCCTTACACCCAGCATACACATGGTGCAGGACAGGTGGCCACTGGCATTGGCACAACTAGTTTACTGTCTGTGCCATAGGGGACCTGAGTTAGCAGGGTCATTCCCCACAGAGAAGACCGTTCGTGGCAGCCTGTGACTAGCACTGCTCCTGTCACCATGCCTGTCACTTTACCTCCCACAGCTCACTGGAAGGCTGCCCAGCATGCCAGTTATCTTGGCACATGCTCCCAGAAAAAAACAGCATTTTTCTTTTGCACAAAATAGGATAAACTAATCTTTTGGTTTGTTTCAACACAGACATGCTCCCATGAAGCCTTTGTCTCCTCTGACTAATAGCCTACCGAGATTTGTAATAATATTCCTGGCATGTTTCCTGCGTCCCCTACAGGAAAAGACTGCTGCAGAAAAGGAGAGAAGGAGAAATGTCACTGCACAAAGCTCCATGCCATCATGTAGGCTTTGCAGAAAAGAACTGGGGTTCCTGGCAGACACCAAGTTGACCATGAGTCAGCAGTGTGTCCTTGTGGCACAGAAAGTCAACAGTGTCATGGGCTGCATTAGAAAAAGCATTGCCAGCAGGAAAAGGGAGGTTAGCCTTCCCTTCTGCCCAGTGCTGGTGGGACCACAGCTGGAGTGCTGTGTCCAGCTCTGGGCTTTCTGGTATAAAAGAGATGTGGATGTACTGGAGCAGAACCAGAGAAGAGCCACAAAGATGAAGAAGTGATTAAAGCATCTGTCATGAGAGAAGAGGCTCAGAGAGATGGGACTTGTTACCCTGGAGAGGAAAAAGTGCAGGGGGGATCTTACTTGATGGGAGAGTGGAAAGACGATGGAGCCAGACTTTCTTCAAAGAACAGGCAAGAGGGAATGGACACAACTTCAAATAGCATAAATTCCATTTAAATGTAAGAAAATACATTTGTTCATGGGGAGGGAGGTAAAGCCATGTTGCCCAAAGAGGCTGTGAAGTCTCCATCCTTGGAAATATTCAAAACCCAGCAGGACATGGCCCCAAGCAACCTACTGTAGCTGACCCTGCTTGAAGGGGGGAGCTTGGAACAGACAATTGGCAAAGGTCACTTCCAATCTCAGCTGTTCTGTGATTTTGTGTTATATGTAGAGGCAGATCTCAAGGGAGATGGAGACAGCAGGGCTATTGCACATTAATGTGCAAAGAAAATACTGTGGTGTAGATGAGGCTCTTCGAATGGGAGCATACGGCAAGTCCCACAGAGGAGTCCTGTTTCCGTGTTGTGTGAGGAGCAACATCACCTCATACGGGGATGCCCTTGGACCTCTCTTTGAGCTTTCTGGAGGTGTGTTAGTTGCACCAAGAGGTGCAGAAGGTTTCAGACTTTGTCTTGCCCACCATGTATTACCTGCCAAGCCTTCCGTCTGGTGCTGCACAGCAGTCTGCCAGAGAAACAGGGTCTCAATTCTTCAAAAAAACAAAATGCCAAAAGCC